TTTTTTTTTTTTTTGTATTACCTATATTATAATTTATCAATATTATGCGTTTGCACTTTTTCTGTCAGCACACAGAGCATAATAAACATGCAACTTGTTCATTATCATTAACTGTCAAACTGTTATTATTATTATTGTATTATTTGACCATTGGTATTGACTGGTTTAAGTTATTTTATTGGTATAGGTAAGGGCATGGCCTAAGGCCTAAAATGCACCAGAATGCAGGAAATCACATCTACTAAATTCAAAATTTTCGGACCCCCCTCTTATTCAGCCCCCCATACAATAATTTTCACCAGCCGCCACTGCCGTGGAAACAAAGACACCTACATCTTGGATGCCCTTGCTAAAACATATCAAAAATTAATTTCAAAGTGAACTATACCTTTAAGTTTGTCTAAACTGAACTGTGTGAGTATTGATTCCGATTCCATTGTGTGTAGTTAATGTAGTATAATGCAATGTCATTATTCCTTTATAGCCGCATCTCTCATTAGCAATCGCGCCCTGATTCACACCACAGTCATGTTACAAACATCTGTGTATTCACTTATTCATAAAAGATCCATCAGCTTGCTGACAAGATCCATAATTGCTTTGCGTCACCAAACACACCTGTTATTGTAAGAGGTTAGCGACCCTATGTTGTTTTAGCACACAATTTACCAAAATAAGTATTAAATATAATATATTATAATTCATAAAATAGAATTATTGTTTAATATATACTCAAATTATTTTAAAATTGTGACAGAAAAAGGGTGCTTAGTTTTGAGATTTTGCAGATAATACCCGCCTTTGTAACCTTAATCATTTTTCTTGTTTGATAAATGAAAATAAATAAATAAATAAAAATAAAAAAACAACAACAGAGTAGTTCTCTTTGTAATCTCTTACCCTAGAGGCACATTTATTATTCATCATCTTAAGGAAAAAACAGGCACAAGGAAGTACTATTAAACTATCAATCATTCAACCGTTTGTTTTTCACATTGCCAAAGCCACAAAGCACTGAAACCAAAGCTTTCATGTAAACTTCTCAGCAAAACCTGGCGAACCTCCAGTGCATATCAGAATAATCAAGAGAATAAAACAATCTCATAGTTTCTTTTAATCTGAAATGGGGACAAATTTTTAGATGCAAAGATAAGAAGTGTAATGTTTCTTAAGTTGCATAACAAAAATGCTTCCCAGTGTTTGCGAAAGGAAAGAACTAGGCTTATGGGAAGGAGCTGGTCATTTTGGCACAGCATGCCGAGTTTCCTGTACATTTTGACAGGATAAAGACGAAAGGGATCTGAGCTGCACTGATTACTTCTAAAAAAAAAAGTCATTAGCACAGATGTGTGCATTAAAACTAGCAAGGTGCTGAATGAGTGATGGCGGTGTCAACTGACTGTAATGGCCTGACCTTGTAGAAGCTCATTCACCTCACCTCGTAAGACGGATACTGCGGTAGCCTGCCGGTTGATGGAACTCTGTGACCCTCTAATATCAAGAGAAAACCACATTCAACACTGTCCTCTTCAAGGGGAAACCCTGACACATTTATAGTGCTCGGATCATGGTGGAACCGAAGAAATCCGTGGGCCTGTAAACAGTGATCGATATCTCAGTATCCCACCTAGAAGCACAGATCATAACTAATGCAGAACAATGGATTGTTCACAAGTATTCATATATACAGTCACTGGACCGGGTCACTGGAAAGGTATTTACAAGCATGAACACAAGAGCAACGGGCCTCATAAACTCAGCCAGCTGTCCTGGGTCGATCAGTAAGCTGCTGCCGTTAACAGGTCGTCAGTGAACCTGTTTTTTTGATTAATTTCCATTACAACCTGTACACCCACACCTATCGACTCGGAATATAAAACGATGCAACCTCATCGTGTATATGAAACAAATGCATACTGTACCTTTCAGATATCCTGATGTACCCAGAATTGTGCAATGTTTGCACTTGCAGTCGGTTTTAATTAGATAAGGTAGGCAGCTCTGCGGCATGTGTATAATGCATAATGTATTTGTAGCTGGGGCATAATCCGACTTTGCAGTATCAAAACTTTATAAGACATATTCAATAGTCAGGACATTTTTTGATGCACTACCTGCTGATTCTCATTTTCTTGAACCTGTTTACATACAGCTTTTGTTTTCCATTACAGCCCATGGCACAAGAATCTCACTCACCCTTTACCAAAGAATGTTAAACATTCAAATCTCTCTCCAGCCACTGCATTTGTATTTCACTCGCCTAGCTTTTATCACTAGTCCTGCAAGAAAAGCTCAGCATATTTCAGCAGAATTCATCAAGTTCTGCACATCCTTTCCCCCATCCCTCAAGCTTTTATTTACAAAAATTCTTTGGCTAATATAAAAATGCTTTCACCAAAACTGCTCTCAGCAAGAATGCAACGAATTACCCTGATTTTCTCTCACAACTGGGATATAGAAGTGTGCAGATTTGTGGTATAAATGTGAATTATACATCAATTATGATTGCTGCTTTTGCACAAGATTGATTACTGAACAGAGCCAGGGTTATTTTTATAGAGTATGATGAAAATATGTGCCATTGTTCTTACTTTTGGATTTCAAAGATCATGACAGTTCATCATCATGCAATTGTTCTGCCAGGAGTATCTCTAGACTCAAGATGGTCTGGAAGAGCTCCTGGAATATATGATATTGATTTGGAATCAGTACCAGATGAATCAGCCCACCGTCTAGACAAATAAGGTCTCTCACTCTGTGACAGAAAAAAGATTTGTGTCCAGTTGGAAACTAAGGGGGTCCTTTTTATGTAACTTTTATTTAATAACTTTGTCAAGGTGAGATTCGCAAGTTAGGGTTTTGCTAACACTTTGACTTAGCGTTTCCTTTTGATTTGAATGCTAAATGTGACTTTTTAAAAGTTATTATCTAGGCTTTAAGTAAAAGATTATGCAAATGCAGGTAAATGCATTATACTGTCACAGGCTATTCATGTAGCTAAATATACTATGCAAAAAATAGATAAGGAGCAGGTAGCAATTATAAATGTAAATGTTGACCTTCACGTTTTGGTTGTTTGGCAGAATGTCATGGAAACGTTATGTATTCATTTATAATTAAACTCAAATTGTTGACAAAAAGACAATGTGTTCACATAAAATGATATATTATTTGATGAAAATAAATAAATACAAATATATGAAATAGCTCATAGTGATTTCAGAATTATATTTCATGTGATTTTGACATTGGCTACTTGGTTTCACAAACAGGGCTTATATTAAGTCATAATTTTGTAGTAGCTTCTTAAAATGTGCCTGTTCTGAAGAAAAAAAACATTACTGGAGTGCATATTGAGATAAAACAATGGCACTGACGCAGTTTAATATAATTGTTTCTGTTAAGACAGCTCAAAGATGCATTTTAGTCTGGGACTACGCTTAAGTTTTGTCTGTGAAATTAGGCATTTAGGTACCTTCCTAATTATAGTGATCACACCCTCAGTGTTGGTGAATCAATATTTAAACCCAAGCAGGAGCAACCATTTCATGTGATTTAGTGTCTGCACCAAACGGAGACATGGCAGGAGAGGCTGTTGTAGAGGACGGGTTATTTTTAGAGCTACAGGGACACACAGGTTTTCCTTCTGGCAATGTCTATCACTTCCTAAATGTGGGTCATGTGGCCCACCAAAAACCCATTTTGAAAATCCACCAAAGACGCAAATATTTTCATTGTTCTGCTGACTGATTTCCTTTCTCAGCACTATCGTTAGACAATGCAAGCAAAATATGATATCGAGGACAAAAACAAGACAAAACAAAAACAAAAACAAGACACTCAAAAAAAAAAAAACTGTATAGACCTAGGAAGAGATTAAATTGTAATCATTGATTCAATCAACTGTTTGATACCTTGTTCAGCTCTCAAGTTGTGTCCCCCCTCTTTTTCTCTTTCACTGTGAAAAATAAAAATGTACTTTTTTAAACTGTCATTCCATTACTTTTGTGTTTATATTTTTAGATTTTATTTATTTATTTATTTATTTATTTATGTTTTGCTTTAACAGTGAACAGCTGAATCGGACACACTGAAAAACAAACTGGATCTGAGAGAGCTTAATGAATAGCCTATAAAGGAGCTTTTACTCCTTTCTCTGCTCTTTTTTAATTTTGTAATTTTGATGGGGAATTAAAATAAATATTAGGATTAGATAAAGTTCTAATCTGGGGGAGTTTTATTGTTGTTGTTTTTCCCTGAGTTATTCCAGACAGAATTATTGCAGAAAGTGCAAGTAATTGATTTTTCTTCCTAACTCAACCTCTTAGCCCATTCCAGCCTTGTTAGAGCTTTATTCTTTCAGACCACAGTCCATTCATAAGATGCAGGCATTCAGTATCAAGTAGAACATCTTGAATGTAGCAGGTCTGCTGATTGGAGAGTAATTTAGCACTGTGATCCAATCAGTGGAACCCAATTATCATGTAGCCTATTTTACTCAGACCTGCAGTTGCACTATGACCAATTGTCTATGAACAAGTTACTGTATTGAGACATAAATTACATCATAGTTCTGTTCCAAAATGTTTTTTCCCCTCAATATTTGATCTACTTAAATTTGCAAACATTTTTGCAGGCATGAAATTAAAACAAGATTTCCATGCAATTTAAAAGAACATTTTCTAGTCATATGTGCACTCTTGAACAAGGCAGTTTAAAAATTAACATCAGCAACCAAAAAAGATTAATCAAGCATTTGAAGTTCTCATATATCATCTGTAGCCCTTTGCAGGGACACGTGCCGACCAGAAAATCCCAAAACTAAAACAGTCTGGCCCTGGCTTAATTCAAAACGGACCTGGTGGACTAAGCAAAGATGAAGCTAAACTTTGGCTTTATTCAGACGGGATCTTTATATTTCATATCATCTTACAGTAGACTGTCTGGAAAACAGCATGTAGTTCTGATAGAAGGCCAACAAGACAAGGTCAAGGACCTACCTCAGAGACTGCTGTTGTTGGTGCGAGAAGTCTGTGCGAGAACAAAGCTCTCCGTACACTGCTGACTGCTGGAGGACAATGAGCGACGGGGCGACCTCTGGAAGCGGTTCCGTCGGTTGAGGTAGCTACCAGCCGTCCAAGTCCTCTGTCTCTTGCGAAGGTACTCCTTGTAGTTCTTGGTGAGCAGGGTGTAGAGAAACGGATTGATGCAGCTGTTGCTGTAGGTCAGACATGTGGTCAGATAGTTAATGTTGCGCTTGGCCTTGGTGGAGAGATCCAGCGTGGGCTGGAACTGACCAAGAAGCTGCCAAATCCAGAAAGGTAGGAAGCAGGCCCAGAAAAGGAGCACAATGGTGAAGATCAGATACAGGACCTTCTGGTTTGGGAGCTTCTTGGTCTGCTTGAAAGTCTCAGTCTGGGAGATCCAGTAGGTTCGTGCCAGGCGTATGTATAGGTACCCGATTATCACCCCTGGAGCCACAATGCTCGTGCCAAAGAGAAAGGAGATGTAGATTTTGTACGAGAGAGGGCTCAGTGTGGGTTGACACATTGGCTTGGAGCTCTCCGTCATCAGCTGGACGCTAATGATCATGGGTAAGGTGAGAATCAGCGAAGCCGCCCACACCAGAAGGGCGATTGCTTTTCGGTAGCTCTTAGAGCGTTTGACTGTATCCAGAGGCTTGAGTACGGCGAAGTAACGTTCTGTGCTCATAACAGTCAGGGTGAAAATGCTGGCATGCATGGTAAGGAAGTCCATGCTGATGAGGATCCGACACCCGGCGTCTCCAAAGTACCATCCCTTCAGGAAATGAGTACATACTACAAATGGAATTGTGAGTAAGTAAAGCAGATCGGCTAGTGCCAGGTTGATGATGTAGATGTACATAGAGGCTGCAGAGCGCATGGAGTGGCACATGACCACGAGCGTATAGATATTTCCAGACACACCCACCAGACACATTAGGGACAGGATGGTACCAATGGTGAAGTTGGCAGCCAAGTCTTCAGTAGAAGCTTCTACTGGACGCTCAGTGACATTGGAAATCTTTTCCACCATCGCCACTATGGGCTCCATTGACACAGTGGTCATCTCTAAAGAGAAATTAATGATCAAAGGTAGTTCAAAAGTTGTAACATGAATATAATTACTAAAAAACGAAAATACAATTATTTTAATCGGCTGTATATTAGGTTAAACATTTTAATATGAATTTAATTCCAATTATAGGCTTGTTTTGTAAGTTATAAATAAAATAATGATTTAAAATTATAGTACAAAACAATATTTTAACCTATAGTACAAGCTTAGATATATTTAATGCGCCTTACATTCATTTTAAATGCTTGCTTTGTAAGTTAACAAAATAATGATTAAAAAAATATATAAAATCATACTGTGCCTTAAATTCTTAAAAACAACAATACACAACTCCTATTAATGAAACATTAAGTTGAGAGGTGGATTAACTTTCCCACTTCTTAATACAAATGCTTTAAAGCCTGATGATTTTAATTAACTATTTCTATCAAATGATTAATACCTAAGCATCAAATTAAATATTTAATATATGAAACAAGTCATTGCACCCTAAAATTAATGAAATATGCTTATCTATCATAACGGTTAGGGCTTTTCTGACAAATGATCTCCTGAGTCAACATGTGGTGAAGGAAAAAAAAATGATTTACCTTGATTGAATTCCACAGATGGTGTAGCTCCAAGCAGATAGACGTTTAGCATTTACAATGAGTCCAACTCATGATTTCTCTGACGAGTATACTCAGTGATTCCTACCACGTTGTCAGCAAGAAATCCTTGAATGGCAAAATAAAACAATTCCAGTGGACCAAAAAAAAAAAAAAAAACTTAAGCTCTGTCATGTGTGTTAGGACACAGATCAATAAAAAAGTACAATTGAGATTGGCATGTGCTTCAGCAATGTAAGAAAAACTTCTGTTATTCTTCAGCAGAACACTAACTATATCACAAACCTGAGTGACAGATAAAAAAAAATATCCTACAGGTTCAGAACAGCCAAAGAAAGTGGTACTAGTGGAAAAAAGGGCAGAATCCTCTTAGATGGATATGCCCAAGGAGGCGATCACTTTGAGCTAGATTTCGAAACCCTCTCCTCCACTGACAGAGTGCATGCCTACAAGGGGTAGAGAGAGAGAGAGAGAGAGATTGCTACGCACACACTAGCATAAAGAGTGGGAGGGGAGATGAAGGAGAGAGGAAAGGAGAGGGAGAGAGAGCGAGTGAGAAAGATTGGTTGGGGGGGAAAGCATTGTGAGGCGGCATTCTGGAAATGTATGTGTGTGTGTCATTTGTGAATGACTAATGAGCTACTACCTGAACTCATTCATTCATCTAGCAGATTGACACACACGGGGATTCGTATTACATGTTTCTGTTTCTGTGTCTCCGTAAATAATAATGAAGCACAGAACATAATGTACCATAAAAAGCTGCCTTCGCAAAAAACAAAATCAGCATGCATTTGAAGCAAACAAATGTTTTTTTGACCGAGGCAATTTATCCTTCACTTCTGTCAAAGTTCCTGTTAGAGATGCAATCAAAATTTTATACACTTTGATGTTCCAAGGTAAACATTTTGCAGAGTTGATTTGACATAATAAGCACCGACCAAGTCATGACTGGCAGAACGTGGGTTTAGTGCCGAAATCCTTTACTTTAAAGATGCTATTTTTTATCCCAAAGGTTCATCCCTCTAAAATGGCTTAAAAGACTATTCTCAGCAGGTACTTAATAAATACCTGGGAGTTTTGGGCCCTTTAATGAAAGAGAGCCAGCCTTGTTCGGTTTTTCACAAAGACATGTAAAGAGAGGTATCCACATTAAGAGCTTGTTTACGACTCTACCGAAGGATGTCGAGATGGCATAAATTTAGAGTGAACTTTATACAGAATACTCCCCACATTTTTTACTGGATCTTCTTAGTTATGAAGCAAACAAGTTTTATCCCTTTTTTTTCAAATATTGAAAGGTTATTCTATAACAAACATTTCTCATGGGGGAGGTTGAGCAAAAACAATTATGAACATTTTACAATAAGGTTTAGTTTATTAACAAGAGTTAATGCATTATGAATAATGAAATATCAGTATATTACATTTAAAAGTGTACTATTGTTCATTGTTATTTCATGTTTTTTCAAAATACATTAATTATAATATTTTATCCATCAGTTGTTGATCGGATGGTGTTAGACCCTTTCATTAGACCATTTCGACTGTAACTAATGTTAATGAACTAAACTTTATTTTAATGTTTTACCAAAATGTTTTTTTTTTTGGTTGGTGCATATGTATATAATTTCTATCATTATAAAGGAGCAAAAACTCTCCATTGCAATTTGCATAGAGTATTGGTATTCATGTGGCAGTCGTTGTGATCCAAAGTTGAATAAATACATGAGAGAAATTAATGCCAGTCTCCATCATGAGATAAGTCTGTGCAAATTTGCCACAGCACCATCTCAATTAATGGGAAACCATGACGTGATGAGAGGTCAGAGCAAATGCCGGAACACTCATTCAGAAGTATATCAACACCACCTTAATACAATCAATGGCACTGGGTTTATCAAAGAACACATTAGGATTTGACCATCATTTCAATGGGGGGAAAACCAACTGAATTATAATGTATCATTTTGGCTGAAATATTCAAGTCTCATGGAGTCAACAAGATGAATCGGATATGGAATCCTCAGGAAGTCATATCTCCGACTTTAATATAGCCTGGTTCATATGATGGCACACTGCCTTGGTTGGCATAAGTTCAAAGGGCTGGAAATGAGTTTTAGAGAATTTTTGCCCTTTCAGATAGATGGGCAATTCAGGTCGATAATACGCTCTGGTGCACACAGCAAACACCATCCACAGCTCCAGCATTTTGAGTAGCTTATCATTTGATTCAGAGAATATTATTTGTAGCTCTTGAGCAAATTAGCTGTGGTCATCTCTGAGAGCCAGAGTAAAGATCACCATAACCTCATGTCAAAAGAAGCTCATATTTTCTGTTCCCTTTCATTGTCACTTTACGAGTTCACACTTACAAATAAGTCTGATAGAATAAATGCGTATTCGGGCATACAAGTCCCGTCATACACACCCCGATCTATTTTCTCCACGCGAGATAGGACTTTGGCTGGTGACCTAAGATGGCAGGTCTGGAACTAAACTGATGAAATAATTATGCTCTGTCCACACCCCGTCTTTCACATTGCAACCCTCGCAGTTCAGAATGAGTTCGCCAACCCGAGCCGGCCTGTCAGTGGGCCCACGATCTCCTTTGCTCCCCCGGTTGATGAAATCATGTATATCGCCGCATCACAAGGTGAGCTGAAGTCCTCTGGAAATGATGGCTTGTCTGTGCTGCCATCATCGGGTGCGCTAGCATAACGAGTCTGATCCAGAGTTGACAGCTATGCTTTCTCGGGCCACCGAGGCTATCAAGCTTGTGTGGACCCATCCGTCATGTCCCGAGCACTTAAGGCTAATAATTGTTAATTGGGGAGGCAAACCCAAATCCTTTCTACCCGGACATGCATGAAGAGGTCGTGAGATCGTGGGAGTCTCCTTTTACTTTTCGCGACTCTTTCCTTGGTATGGAACGACTTGGTCGCCATGTCCGCACAGCTTACAAGCAAGCACATGCAGTCACTGCTGACTTGCCCTATGACAATTCAAGGGCAAGAATGCAGTTCCACTGAAACTATTTCAAAGGCTCCTGGGGCATATGACATCTGAGCCGTGGCAACACTGCTCGCATTGCTTCATATGACTCAGCTCTGGCTTAACGACCAAGTCCCGAGGTGGGCATGGCAACACGGCAACCTCCAAATACCAGTTACTCCGACCTGCCGTCAGACCTTCTCCCCATAGTCGAACCTCAGTTTTCTACGGGCTGGAGTGCCCTGGGATGTTGTTGTCTCAACAAATGCCTCCACCACAGGTTGGGGTGCCATGTGCAATGGACATATTGGCTCCTGGACAGGACCCCAGTGCCTATGGCACGTCAATTGCCTCGAGTTGCTGGCAGTACGCCTTGCTCTGCACTGCCTTCGGGCATTGCTCAAGGGTCAACATGCACGTACTAGTCCGATCAGACATACTGCCACTGTAGCGCATCAACCATCAAGATGGTCTATGCTCCCGCTATATGTCGCAACTCGCCCGCCACCTCCTCATATGGAGTCAGAAGCATCTGAGTTGCTTCGCCGAGAAGACCCCTGGAGGTGTTCGATCAGTGTCATGCCTTCCTTCGAGATGGGTTGAATCGAAGGCTGTCTCCCTCCACCCTCAAAGTATACATTGCCGCTATTGCCGCTTACCATGATACAGTGGAAGGTAAGTCAATAGGGAAGCATGACTTCATCGTCAGGTTCCTGAGAGGAGCAAGGAGACTGAATCTTCCACGCCCTCCTCTCGTTCACTCTCGGGACCTCTCAGTGGTTCTAACTGCCCTGCAGAGTGCTCCATTTGAGCCTCTGAAATCAGTGGAGATTAATTTCCTGTCTTTGTGATCCTGAGACCCCGGCTTGGATATGTGCCCAAGGTTCCCAACACTCCCTTCCGGGACCAGGTGGTGAACCTGCAAGCGCTGCCCTTGGAGGAGGCAGACCCAGCCTTGGCACTGCACTGTCCAGTACGTGCTCTCCACACCTATGTAGACAGAACGCACATTTTTTCAGGACCTCAGACCAGCTCTTTGTCTGTTATGGTGGAAAGCTGAAGAGAAAGGCTCTCTCCAAGCAAAGGCTGTCTCACTGGATAGTAGACGCCATTGCTTTGGCTTACCAGTAAGGTTGACCATGCCCTTGGTGTGACTGCCCACTCCACCCGGAGTGTGGCGTCCTCTTGGGCTCTAGCACATGGCACCTCGCTAAAAGACATCTACAGAGATGCAGGGTGGGCGACACCCAACACATTCGCTTGATTCTACAATCTCCGATTGGAGTCTGTGTCCTCTCATGTACTTGTTGCAACCAGCTAGTACCTGCCCCGATCAGGTGTCTTCGCTTGCTCGTGAATCCACTTCACAGACTGGATGCATGCAATATTTTCCTCAGATGAGCTTCCTCCTCAAGCCCTGAGTTCCTCCAGCACTGCTGATGTCGAAACAAATGTCTATTGCCTGCGCTTTGGATAGGGTGTGCATCAAACTTGACCATGGTTGCATCAAACCATGGTCAAGTTTGATAGGTGCATCAAAATTGACCATCTAGATATAGTAAAAGTCGGAAAAGTCGGAATGGAACAAGTGTCTATAACTGTGGTATTGCTACAACTATTGCAAAACCCAGCGAGGAGCTCCGTCGGGGCCGATCCAAGGACCTCACTAAACCACCCTATCGGTTGTAGCGACGAGCGGTGTGTACAAAGGGCAGGGACTTAATCAAACCTCTCTGCGCAGGGTAGTCACATGCTGATCCGCCCATTGTGGTGCACGTGCAGCCCCGGACATCTAAGGGCATCACAGACCTTTTATTGCTCCATCTTTCGTGGCTAAACGCCACTTGTCCCTCTAAGAAGTTGGACGCCGGCCGCTCGGGGCCACAAAACTAGTTAGCATGCCGGAGTCTCGTTCGTTATCGGAATGAATCAGACAAATCGCTCCACCAACTAAGAACGGCCATGCACCACCACCCACCGAATCGAGAAAGAGCTGTCAATCTGCCAATCCTTTCCTGTCAATCCCACCCATATTATTATAATTATAATAAATAGTAAAGGTGGGAGGAATAAAAGGAGAAAATGACAACTGAGTCATAAACTGAACAACAATGTACAATGCAATGCAAAGTTGAGTCTGTTCATCTGGCTGGAAAGAGCACTGTAATTATAATAACAGTGTACAGCCTGATCAACAGAGACGTGGGAGTGGGTGCAGGAGAAGGGCTGGTTCTTGTCTGATTCTCAAGCTGTCCTGTGACTTATGGTGACCGACTGATGGCTCCATTTGCACTAAATTGTAAGGTTTGCCAGCCTTTGATGTGATGTTAGCCATTGAAAACTATAATGGCTCTGACAATCTCAGTCAACTGACTATTATAGGCTACTTGTTCTTACCATAGCTGTAGCAACACCA